GGGTAGGGCGACGGCGGCCGCCCGATCGGCGGCTGCGGCGGAGGCGGCGATGGATTCGCCGTGGTGGCGAGGCGGGGGGGAGAGGGAGGGGGAGAGAGGTGGAGGAGTGAACGAGGCGGAGTGGGATTGGAGAGGAAGGCGCAGGGGGAGGTGGATCGGACGGCGCGTGGAGGGCTTTAGGATTCGGGACAGGCCGCTGGAGGGTCCAGATCGGTGGGTCCTCTTTTGATCGGGCCGATTCACTCCTGATTTTCTACGGCAGCAAGGATGTAAGAAGGCCATTAGTGATCTTAATTACGCACAAAGTGGAGTACACTATAATTCCTAGTACTAAATTACTCCCTCCGTTTCTAAATACAAGCCTTTTTTAAAGATTTCAATTAAGACTACATGCGGAACAAAACTAGTGAATGTACACTCTAAAATATGTCTACATACATCTGTTTGTAATTCTTATTATAAAATCTCTAAAATGACATATATTTAGGAACGGGGGAAGTATTTATCAAATTTAGATGGTAATCTTGAAAAGAAAAATACTCAGAAACCGTCAGTTGATAACTCTTTGCGCGTTGACTGCCTTCATGGCCGGTGGATCTAAATTTGATCGAACGCCCGCAACAACTCATACAATGTAGTCCAGTTTTGCCATGTGGCCCTTGTTGCAACGGCTTCAAGCGCAACACCGACTCTGTTTGCAGATCTGAGCAAATAAGGTTTGTTGCGGATGCAACATAGGCTACATTGCAAAGGTATAAACGCAACGCCCCGCAGCAACGCATACAATGTAGTCCGGTTTTGCCATGTGGCCCTTGTTGCAACGGCTTCAAGCGCAACACCGACTCTGTTTGCAGATCTGAGCAATAGGTTTGTTGCCGATGCAACATAGGCTACATTGCAAAGGTATAAATGCTTCGACGGACCACAACACAACTCATGCTGCGAGCTCCTGAACGCAACATGAGCCATGTTGCAAACGGCTGGGCGCAGCTGAGTGACAGAGATCAGAGGGCCATTACGCGCACCATCCAACAGTTGTTGAGGCGGTCAATCCGATCATCAACCAGCTAAAGCATAATCAGTGTTATGTTTACACATGTTGTGGGCGTTTGCTCATGCACTGTTCTTATAAACTCGAAAGGAATTTGCTACATTTAAGTGAGAAACAAAAACAGACAGACTTGTTAAAGAACTTTTGTGCACAGGCTGTGCAATTTATTTTCAAAAATTCTACTAGTCTGCAAGCAATGCATTTTAGAGAGCAATGCCCATACCATTCGACCTGTACTGTTCTAACATCCATCATGTAGAGCAAAACCATTGGCAAGATGACACTAATCACTAGAATCACAAGGATAAGGTTTCCCCAGGAGAAGGAGAAGGTTTTACAGACAAAACAACCACACAGCATAGCACAGCACTGGCGACACCGAGAACGAAGCAACGTAATGGTACTTTTAAAAACATAGCTGAAGCTCCAGCGTATCATTACAACACAGGCTTACCCAGGAGATATAACAAGACAAGACACACAAGAACCATGTGAAGGACACCGTCAAAGTTATACATAATCGTTTGCACCAAATGTTGCGATCTTATGCGATATCTAAAATGAGAACCGCGAGGGTTCTTGGGAATGACACGTTCGACGCGACAAGTGTTCTTTCAGTAGAACGTCCCCTCCGGAGGCTGCACTAATTTCCGGTTGTGTGATGTCGCCATCTCTTTCTTAAGCTGTATCAAGATGTTCTCCATTGTGTACTCACGGCGCCAGTTGGACAGCAGGCTAAACTTCCTTTGGTCCACCTGCATTTTTGCTCCAGGTTAAGTTTGAAATACAAGGAGAACAAGTGGATATACAACGTTCAGGGGTCACGGAGACAGTGCCATACCAATCCAGTCTCGGCATTTACACAGGTCATGTTGATTCTTGAGTGAAACCTAACAGTCGGTGGCCTGTCGGGATAGTCCTTGTCACAGAAAAGCTTCAACTGATAAATCCGGCCCTCATGGACAGTCTACAAAACCATATATAGATAAACAAGAAAGCACAAACTCAGAAATGCAACAAATCATATTTCAAGAAATCAATGGTCAGTGGAAATATCTCACGTTGTGGGGACCAATTATTGTTCCTGTCCAGGAGCGCATGTAGATATCATCTGCGTCATCCATTCCATAGCTAACTGTTCCATCCCCAATACCCTTCTCTCCTCTCTCAAGCTCTTCCAGCAGTCTAAAGTTCCTCGGCACTACAGAAATATTTTTATGGCAATCAGTATCAATAATACACTTCCAGCAACATTAATAGATACGGCATAGGCACATCATCAAATTTGATGTTCAGAATAGCTACATACATAAAACGAAAAATGACCATAAAAAAAATTCATCCAAAATACACTGAACCAGGTAGTCGGCAGCTTACTAACAATTTTAGTTCTGCTTGCAGAGTTTCTAATACAAGTTGTTCCAATGAGCAATTAGGAGCCAGTAGATAACAAAGGGATAATTGCACCCAGCTGCATAGAGTAAATTATCGCAATCCTAAATGACAAAAATTCTCAGATATCTTGTATTCTACCTAATTATGTGCTCAATCTTTTAATGTACCATCTCCCTTGGCTGCGTAGCATCAGAAGATCACTCGAACTTGTATAGCTAGACAATCACAGAAATGTGATTTTATTCCTGTACTTCCAAAAGGCACGGCTATTCACAAGCTCTACACATAGTGGGAATGTAGTGTGGAAGCAATAAAGATTAGTACGCTTAAGTGTCTTTTATTCCAAGGATTAGTGGATTCCAAATATATAGTGCGACTGTTTGCTCTTTTCGGGAAAAATCGCCTAGTTAACTACAACTTGCAGACTTGCAAAGTGAATTTCCCAGAATGAAGTAAACAAACTGTTTTATGCCGTGACAACAAAGCATAGATGGGGAACACATTAACCCCAAGTATTCAGCTGTAGCAATCCTCTGGACTAGATGAGGAGCTGATGATAGTCTAAAGATGTAAGTGGGGCGTTTTCGCGGCCAGTATCATGGTATACATGCTAGTGTCACTTTTGTGGTCAGCGGTGAACTAATTGCCGAGTTTTGGAGGATAAGTAGGCTGCTGCTTGCATCTCTATGATAGTGTCCTATCTACCACGAGTCCACCACTTTGCACAAAGCTAGTCCATGTAATGCATTTTACTAAAATATCGGCACCAGCGGCAAATTCGGTACATTCATCATATCTTCTGGATAGATAAAATTTGACGATTCCTACTCCATCATACAGATTACCAACAGCAAAGGACTCCAGTTTCACGGTATCTTCGTCCAAACAAGCAACCCAGCGTCGTCATGCTAGTGACATGGGGGCAACAGTATGGCTCAGGTGCAGAGCTTCCTGCACCATACCCAACCGCAACGTATGAAGGACCACTTCCCCCCCTAGTTTTCTCGCCATCGGAACATTATTTGTTGCCTAATGTGCCAGAGACCTGCAGCCAAGACATCGCTGGAAGGCAGGCGGCAACGTATGACAGCTCATCAATTCTTCCTAAATAGTAGTACAAACTTATACTACCATGAAGCATGAAGGCGACGACCTAAACACGAGTCCCGGGAATTGAATGAACTGAGCTGAACTGAACCCCGGTGTTTGCTAAATTTAAGGAACTGCTATTCGCAGCAGCAGTCCACACCCCAACACAGGTACTTGAGCAGAGGGGGATCTCTTCCCCCGCGGACGGACGCGCCGGAGAAGACCAGATTCGAACCATGGATGGATGGACGGGAACGGATCCACGGCGCCAGAGAGCAAATCCGCGACTGATTGGACGGATTGGAGCATCGTATCGGTCGCGTACGGGGAGATTTGGGGCTTGGCGGCTGGCTGGCTGGGAGGAGAAAGTAGCAGGAGAGGTTTGGGCGAGCTAGGGCTTACCGACAACTCCGGCTGCGTCACCGCTCGACGCCATTCCAGAAAAGTGAGGAGCACGGGGAGGAGACCGCCCGACGGATGCGACAGGGGATTTCGGGGCGGCGCGCGTGCTCCGGTGGGGGGAGGCGGGCGTGCGTGCGTGCTCGCTCGGCGGCGCTCGTTCCCCTTTGGTGGTGGTGGGGTGGTGGTGGTGCACGGGTGCGACAGTGCGAGACGACGGGGAGAGGGGTGCGATGAAGTACGCGTGCAGGTGGGCTGGGTTGGGCCTGGGCCAGTCCAGGCCAGGTCAGGCTTGTGGAACAGGAGATACGTTTAGGGCAACTCCAACGCGCCAACCCAAATCGTCCGCGACCAAATCGCCTGCGCGTGTTCATTTGGGTCAAAACGTCGGCCACTCTCTGATGCGTCTTTTTCCCCTCTTGATATGGTTGCCACTTCTCTCGGAGGCGATTGCCGCCGCCGTTGAGCGAGTTTCTTCCCTACCGTCGTACTCCCCTTGAAACCTGGTTCGGGCCGACTAAGGGGTGATCTTTGCATCACCGCTCGGCCGTGGCCAAGTGTCTCTGGGTAAACGGCTGGGTTAGGGTTCCTGCAACACACGGTTTTTCTCGATCGGGCTAGGGTTCTAGATGACGGCGGAAACTGCTGTTGGA